ATCTGCACATTAACTTCTTCCAATTCTTTCAAAGGCAGGTTCTGAAAGTCCAGCATAATGACATTGCCTGCCACCTCTCCAATTTTTGGAAATGGATTACTGTCAATCCCCATGGCCTTTTCAGCTTTGGCTGGGAATTTCAAACTTCTTTTCTGAATTTGTTCTGGATCCTATCTCGAAAAACAATACAGTTCTTAGTCGAGTGAGACCAAGAATTATGTCATTTATAATATACTTTTCCTTTAAGTTCATCAAGAGATTGAATTTTAACCCCTATTGGTAACTTAAGGAAGTTGGCCGCAAGCAAATGATCAAAAACGTCATCTGCCTTAGTTAAATCAAAAGAGTATTTCCTGTGAAGGTCTTTCTTTTTAAACTGCTGGTCAATTGTTGTATCCTCATGAATCAATGCTTCACAGATCATAGGTTCTTTCCCCACAATCTCTGCTGCATCGATCTCATAATTAGGATCTCTATAATATGTCTTGTACGATACATTATTTCGATTTTGTTCCTCCTCTAGTAATGCTTCGTATCTAGACACCTTATAAGTGAGTTCCACTAAGTCTCTGAACTCAGTCGAGTCAAACTTCTTTCGAAGCCTAAACTCTAAGCCATTTTGAGCAAATCTCATGAATTCTGGCTCTGGCAGGATGACTCTACATTTATTTCGAGCCCTTTTAAATCTGGCAATAAACTGAGTAGCCTTTTCGTCAGGCCTTCGACTCAATCTTGCCAAGTCTACCATGGAAATCTCTGGCTCCGATTGGAAGAATTGGGCATGAAATGCCTCTTCCATTTGTTGCCAAGTTTGGATAGAGCCAAGTGTAAGGTTAATATATCATACAAATGCTCCCCCAATTAGGGAATTTGGGAATAACATTAACTTTATATAATCATTATTAGTAAATTCACCGCATTGAGCAGCAAACCAAGCAACATGCTCCACTGTTGATTGGTTTCCATTCCCATAAAAACGGGCAAAATCTGGTATCTTGAAACCTCTCGGGTATTCATGTACCCTGTCCACCCATTCTGGATATGGTTTCCTATACACTGGAGTCTGGACCCCCCGAGCCATTGGTCCACATATCTCTCTGACAATGTCAGCATCAATTTGGTCCCTAGGGACCATATTTTGTGCATGCTGAACCACTACTGGAGGGGCAAACACAGGATTTGGCGGGCAAACTTGTGCCTATGGTCCTCTTGGTCCATAAGGTGGTATATTTGAGACTGGTTGTCCCTGCGGTGCTGGTTGCTGTTGGGGGTGTGGGTAACCCCTTTGAGCCTGTCCTGCGAAAGGACCTGCGAAAGGTGTTGGAACTGGTGTTGTGTCTCTTCCATTTGTAGGAAAACCTTCCAACCCCCTGGCTATAAATTCGAATAAGGGATTAGTGAACCCCCTTGTGCCAGGTATGGCTTCGAACATGAGATTTGGAACCATTCTTATGTCATTTTCTTGTACTGGGCCAGATCCACCAAATTGCATGGCTTTACTGTCAAGTACTGAGGCATTTTGACCTGCTATAGGCCTCGGAATAGGTTCGCACCAAGACTGAGGTGATGGTCTTTCATAGTTTTGATTACTAGTTTGACCATTAGAATGTCCATTAACTTGCATAGGCTGTTTATCTCTAGCCAATCTTTGTTGAGGGACATTTAAAACTTCCTCTATGTGTCTTGCGTTTGTTGTTTGGTGATTATTCATTCGATCCAAAAAGGATGTTGCCCACCTTTCCATCGTGTTTATTAACTGTTGTCCCGTGGCATCTACTAGGCCACCCCATGGATTTATTGGTTGAGTAGATGGAACAGTGGATGGTCCAATTCCTTAGTCTCGTCCAATATTACGAACATGTAGTACTTGTTCTGAAGTGCTGGTCTGTTCGACCATAGGTTCTGACAAAATGGGAGTTTCCACAAGATGTGTTATCACATTATCCTCTAGATTAGGTATCTCTACCTCTCATTCCACGCCTTCTTCCAAGCGTTCATTTTCTCCTTGTCTCCTACGTCTAGCCATTTCAAAATGTCCCACTGGGCGTGCCAAAAATATATGTTGGCTTTTTGGCTTTCGAAGGTTATTTTTATAATTGCGAGCGTGCCAACAAGGATCAATTAATCCTTACAGAAAATTAATTGCCAACCAATTATCAGACGATTGTATTTTAGTTCTTTCAGCCTCAATGAAAAGGATTTTTACTGGTGGTTTGATTTAGGAGAATTAAACAAGATAACAATTAAATGAAGAACAATTGAAGTATTTCATTAAAATGAAAAACTTACAATGATCCAAACTCAGCCTCGTAGAGGTTTACAGCAACAATCTACTACCTGAAACTACTCCTATGAACGAAGTGCAGTGCAGGAATTTAAAGTATAGGAATGTAAAGAACAGGAAATGTAAGACTGGAAATGTAAAACTGGAAAGGAAAATAAGTAGAATAAGACTAGTTTTTTTTATCTGAGTCTAGGGGATTTTTTTTGGGCCTTCTCTGTTATTTATACTGCTCAAGGATGACCATCGAACTGCATTCCTAACCATCGAACTGCTCCTCCATGATTGCTGATCATGTTGCCTCATGATTAGCTCCATTACGCCATTACTTGCAGTTAGGCTTCCCTCCTAAATTTGAATTTGAAATGCGCGTAACTATTGAAGCCACATCACCTTGCATCTCTTTGTTAATCCACTGCTACTCAGATCTCGTAATAACCAATACTAACTGCCACGTGTACGATTAGGATTGAAGACTTGAATAGTCTTCCTATATTATCCTTATTTTGCCACGCGTCGAATTGTAATTGGCTTGTACAAAATATGTAGCCAACAAATACATATTTAGAATTGTAAAAGCAGTAATGTTATTAATCAATAATAAATCACTAAAAGCAATTAATTGGATAGAATGTGTTTCAAGTAATCAATTAAACATATCTCCTGGTTTATAAAGACAAAAATGTTAAAATATAAGCATTAATTACATTTTCATAATTAATGTTTAAGTTGTGTCAATTAATCTATGTTACATGGACTCGAGTGCAAGTGTCGGGTGCGGGTGTGTATTTAAGCGTCAAACCTTCATAAATTTTAATCTTAGGATCTTGGGGTATGTATCCAAAATTGGATATGCGTACGGGGACACGTCATACGCACATATATATTGCATATTATATAACATTCTCAGATGAGATCTTTTAAATTATGTAGAAATATATTAGAAATTAAATACGATTTAGAAAAAATATGAAATTTCTAGATCTAATTCATGTGGGAGCCTAAAAATATTGTTTTACTAACAATTACGAGTTTCTTCTTCTTCACATATTGTCACAAATTAAAGGATCTGAGTGTGTAAATTAGGTTCGAGCGTCGGACACATATCCCACATCCTTACCCATGTCATATCCGGTGGACACGGGTATTGTGGGGGAAATAGAAGAGTCCTTATAACACAGTAATTAATCACTAATGTATAAAAAGCTTTTCAATTTCATCTTCTAAACTAACTCCAATAAATATCATTAATCTCAACGGTAAATGTGTAATTTTCTAAGTATTTTTTTACATCAATGACACAAATCACATATTTTAGATACTATAAAAAATGTAATATTCTAGACTAAAAAGGTAATTAATCCACATAACTCTAAAAGACATGCATTTGGTAATCATTTATTGTATGAAGAGCAATGTTACGTATCATTTTTTTCCCCACTCTTTGTATCATTAAAACCGTAGTAACACTGCTGGAAAATCTATTTTTAGCGGCGTTTAAAAAACGCCGCTATAAGTGCCAAAAACGCCGCCAATTCTTTTTGTGACGTTTAACACCAAACGCCGAGGACGCGGCCGTCGCTATAACTTTATGACGTTTTCAAAACGTCGTGATAGAAGTATAGGAGGTGTTTTAAAAACGCCGCTAAATGTCTTACCCTAACAGTCTCTGACGTCACACAATGATAATTAGCGACGTTTTGAAACGCCGTCATAGACATTTATACATTTTAAAAATTTAGCCGTTAGGGTTGAGATATAGTGATGTTTAAAAAACGCCGCCATAGCTTCTTTTTTTTTAAAAAAAATTATGCTAATTTTTTGTGGTTGAACAAAAAAAAAAATACCTATGATAAACAATTATTAAGAACTAATAATTGATATTTATTAAAATAATAAATAAACTAAGCTTAAAAAGAAAATTAAAATACCCATCAGACATTTATACATTTTTTTAAAATAATAAATGAGTGTGTATCATAGAATTTTCCCAATTTCAATTTGGTTCAATAATGAATGTCTGAAAACTTCACTGCAGAAAAACAAAATTTGAAAATTTCAGATGCTGCCTATTAATAATGCACAAATCTAGAGTTCAGGAAGCTACAAATGCTCCTCACAAACAATTCTCACCCATCCCATCATGTAAACTACGGGAATACCCAACAGAAAAAAGTAATAAATGAATAAATAATTCCCTGCAGATATAAACAATAATTTTATGGATACAAAACTAACCATAGAAATACAAATGCAATTGATGTATGTTGTTGGTTCTGACTCAATAAAATTATTGAGATATTAATATACACAAACAAATGTTGAGCATGAGACCTGCCAGCCAGCATCATTGATCAATTTTAGCTTTATCCGTGGTAGTCACAGAAACTCAGTTCTTCTTCTACTGCTGCTCCCAATACATCAATTTTATAAACTGAAAGAAGGGTATAAATAATTATCAGTTACCATTCCTCCTCAGTATGCTAACATGCTTAATCCGGCAATTAGTGCAGCCCCTGCAGCTAAAGCACTGTATGCTGAAGCCCACACATCTGATTGAGCATACTCTATACCTCCAGATTGTGATCCTCTCCTATGACCTTGTGTTCTTGAATGATCTAAATGCAACTTTAATACCTGTTAAAAAAAATTTAAAGGAAGGTTAAGGAGAAAAAATATTTGCTTGTAATATAAAATTATGCAAAATGTAAATAAAACCCATTTTATTAATGATCGTAATATAAAATCAAGGACAATATAGCTTCTCATGTTTTAGTCGAATCCTATTCCTATTATATCCCTTCTCTTAAAAAGGGATCAAGCAAAATATGATGATGAAGAGGATGTATCAGCCAGAACCTGCAAGTAATTAAATTAAAGAAGAAAATTAACAAAAAGGAGAGCTAACAACTTAAGATATGGAAGCATACAAGAATATATATTTCATATGAATCTACCTCAAGTTGATCTTCAGTAAATGAATTTTTTTGAATGTTCCATGTATCTGCGTGGGTCCTCTGGAACTCAGCAACCGCTTTTGTAACCGTAGATTTCGCAGGTGACGATTCTCCCACAAAATGAGCCAGCAAAGTAACATGCTCAGGCAACCAACTGAAACAAAACAAAAAATAAAAAAATCGATTTTTTTTTTAAATGTCAAAATTGTTCCATTAAGACCAGGGAAATAAAGTAAAATTTTAGTTTATACTTCATTCATATTTCCTTCACCTTTTTTTTTTCCACCACAAATCCCAACCCTAATCCTAAATCCAAACACAGCCCTAGTATATGTTAGACATGAACATACCTGGGCATATCATATGGAACAGATAAAACACAAGCTGCCAAAGCAAGTACAGCACCGTGTATGGAAGCTATGGACAGACCAGAACTTGAATTTCTGCATCAGTAAATTTCCAAGCTTTGGATCAGTATATAAAGGGAATATATCAAGTAGCAGGAGATATTTAATAAGTTACCAATGCATCATGCACGCAGAAACATTAACCAAATATTGAATACCAAAACAAAGGCATGAACCATTCAATATTCAATGCATCATATGCACAAGCAATAGAACTTAATAACTACAGCAATTAATATGAATATATACGTACATGAATACAGTACATAGAAATTAATCAATATCTAATGTATCATGTGCAAAAGCAATATCACTCGAACCCACTCCACAAGTTATATATGCATCACAAACTCTTTTTGGTAAGAAATAGATGCATCATAAACCATTATGTATGTTTATGACATCCGACTAGAAGTGAACATGTGTAAAGGACTGAATATCTGAAGATTGTTCCTCCCTAGAGAAATTAATCTGGTAACTAGCATAACAAGAAAGCTTCAAAACCAAGAAAATGAACTCTATCTTCTCTTCTTTTGAATTGCATTTGCATCTCTGTAAGCCCTACCACGGAAGTCTTCAGCTAGGTTTTCATCCCCACCCTTCATTAGGCATGCTAAAACTGCTGCAGCATGTTCTCTTACCTGCACAAAAAAACTACATGTTACAGTTAGAAGTGACAAAATCCTATATAGGGCTCCAACCTCTTCTACGAGTGTGGAAACAATTAAAGGACCATTGTTAAATCCAAGAAACTCTGGGCTCTTCTATATTGTATTTTATTTCGGGGCCCTACCCTCCTAATCACAAACTATCATTAAACTAAGATATATATATTAAGTTATCTGTCGTATGAGAAAAGGTCATGATGAAACACTACCTATAATCACATATAAATAGAACATGTAAAATCATTGCTGTAATCATTGCCATCCTAAGATTGTGGAGAACTGTACTACTACATTACGCCTTATAAAACCAAACCAACAAATTGAAAAAGGAATAAAGTTCGCATCTTTTAAAGAATGGGGGCACTTTGAACACTAACCTTTTTTGTAATCACATTAAATTCATCAACCGTTATTTGCTACCAGAGTCCTTAGAATTCTAGCATAAGCAGCAAGACAAAAGTAAAATACCATATAACGATCCCGGGTTTACCCTTGTTGTATAGTGATCCGGACATGTGTCCGTGGATGTTGGTAGTTGATCATTATCTTGTTTACATCCTTTCTTACTTTGTATTTGAGTTATAGGATGTGTTGGGCAGGTTTGTTACAGGTTGGTTGAGTTTAGAAACCAAAACTAGTTGCCCAGATTTTGACCTGTCCGCTCGAGCGGGGGTTTTGGCGCTCGAGCGGGAGTTTCACCCATCCAGTATTTCCTGTGCAGTGTTCGACGCTCGAGCGTGGGATTGGACGCTCGAGCGGGATTGTGTGAGTGACGCTCGAGCGGGGAGTTGGAAGCTCGAGCGGGAGACCTGTCTGCAAAAGTTCTGGGAGTGTGTATCCGAAGCTCGAGCGGGGGATTGGCCACTCGAACGGGAGTCTGTGAGTGACGCTCGAGCGGGGCGTTGGACGCTCGAGCGGGGCGACTGGGTTAAAGTTCCGTGTTTTGACTTTTCAAATCACTTTTTCACTTTCTCTTCTCTCTCCTACTTTTCCAAAAACACCATTGTTGAGCCTCTCACTCTAGAACTCTACCTTCTCTCTAGGTTTTGATCTAGTAGGAGTGATTTGCTCATCTTTGGCCTTTACAAAAAAAGTTGTTGATCGTTGAGGGCTACATTTTAATCTGAAAATTTCGGGATTTGGAGCACGTTGGGTTTTGTCATCTTCTCCCTTGGGGCTCCGGATTTGAGGTAGGGATAACCTACTCCTTACTATGGGTTTTGTCTTTAAATTTTAGTAGTTTGAGATGTTGGAGTTGGTTTGGTAATTTTGTGAAAGTTTGAGACTTTTGTGCAAATTTACAAAGTTGGGGTTTCAACTATATAAAAGCCTAGATGCATGTTTGGCATGGAAAAGTGGAATTAATGTTAAAACATTAATGAAAATGGAACCTAAGGGTTGTAATGTTAATTATGAAAAATACCCTAATTACATTGGTTAAATAAATTTGTAAAATTAATTGTGAGAAACGAGGAATTGAATTGGAAATGTTGAGAATGGGAATACATGGGATTAAAGGGTGTAGTTGGATTTCATGTCACTCACCTGGCTGGAAATGTCGATTTTATATCCATTTGCTGCATTTATTCTCTGTATAGAAATAACTGCCTTGGGCTATCGGTGGAGGATAGTCGTGATTGTTGTAGACAATGCATGATGATTAGGCAAACGGAAACTAATCACAGGAATGAGTCATTGAGTATGATGATTGAAAGAGCACGTTAAATTTATGTGTTGTGTGATGATGTGTATAATCATTGTTTATATGCATTGTGTTGTGTTGGAGGAGATAGGGGATGTACTCCACGGTTGAATTGCATTTGCATCTCTGTAAGCCCTACCACGGAAGTCTTCAGCTAGGTTTTCATCCCCACCCTTCATTAGGCCTGCTAAAACTGCTGCAGCATGTTCTCTTACCTGCACAAAAAAACTACATGTTACAGTTAGAAGTGACAAAATCCTATGTAGGGCTCTAACCTCTTCTACGAGTGTGGAAACAATTAAAGGACCATTGTTAAATCCAAGAAACTCTGGGCTCTTCTATATTGTATTTTATTTCGGGGCCCTACCCTCCTAATCACAAACTATCATTAAACTAAGATATATATATTAAGTTATCTGTCGTATGAGAAAAGGTCATGATGAAACACTACCCATAATCACATATAAATAGAACATGTAAAATCATTGCTGTAATCATTGCCATCCTAAGATTGTGGAGAACTGTACTACTACATTACTCCTTATAAAACCAAACCAACAAATTGAAAAAGGAATAAAGTTCGCATCTTTTAAAGAATGGGGGCACTTTGAACACTAGCCTTTTTTGTAATCACATTAAATTCATCAACTGTTATTTGCTACCAGAGTCCTTAGAATTCTAGCATAAGCAGCAAGACAAAAGTAAAATACCATGTTCATTTTATAGAAAAATTTCAATCCTTCAGTGAAAGAAAAGACACTTTATACAACTGAAACCCAAGCAAAGAAACTATCATGCAAGTGTTCTTAACATGAAAAAAAATAAAAAATAAAAAAAGAAAAATCATTCAAAATACGTGTGCATAAGTTAGCCAAGAATAAATTATATTAACCATTCCACTTAAAAAGTCAAGCCAAACTTGCCTCCACTTGGTTGTCCGTGAGGTGCTTCTCGACAGTACTCCATATTTGTTTTTTCTCCACAGTAGAGAGAATAAAAGTATGCCTGCTATGAAAAGAGATTACAATGTAAATGATATTGGTACTGTAAAGTAACTGCACCTTTACATTTTCAATGTAACAAAGATGCCAAACTTCAAACTAGACAAGTGATGATACTAGTCATGCATGTCAAAAGAAAAAAAAAAAGTAAGAGAACTCGAAAAACTGAAAATATGTAAATGACTAAAACGAGTAAACAAAACTAAAAATCCAGTTGAATTGTATAAATGACAATTCATGGGTACAAAGTCTTGTCATAGGCTATAAAGTATTGCATAACATTGCACGAACATAAGAACACAGCTCCTTCAGGCAACTTCGGAGGATTGTCACACCAGTGCTCGAACTACAAGGCATTTTTCTTTATGTAAACCAAACGAATATTATTTGTTTCACAATAAGAACCAAGTCCAACTAAACACATCATGATGATATCTTTCTACAGAAATAGAGGCAGACAAAACCAAAACATGAAAAGTCATATCGAAATATAACTAGAGAGACATAACATAGTCATAAACAATACCCCACCCCCCCTACGGACAAAAGCTACAACATAACTCAGATAATAAGAGCCAGACCTAACCCACTTTATGTTTTAGCCATCCTATCAATCGATCTCCACCTGCAAAACACAGACAATCTCATCAATGAAGCTTGATGATATTCAAATTTGTGCGCTAAAATGGTGTCCTAATAATGGGTTTAAATAACATCCCTTAAGTGTTCTGAGCCTCAAAAATTGATAAAAGGATGTAGAGTACATACCCTGGGCTTTTCAACCCAACAGAGGATTAGTAGTCATCAAAAAACAGCTCTCCATAGTCAGAATAATCACTGCCGCCGCCTGAGAATTCATAATCATTGTCAACGTCAGACAAGAAGTCGATCTCAGAAAACCCAGATGGGTACTCATCATCAAATGAATCCTCATCATCATCATAAACAGTTGTATCAAACTCATAGTCATCGGTGGGATCGTACGGACGCTGAGACAGACCCTATTTACTTCATAATAGTCTTAGCTTGACATTTTCAAGCCGTACTAGCTCTTGCCAGAGATGATATCAAAATGAGCACTGGTTTTCACAAATGATGCTCTGAAAACAATTAGATGTAGGACCAAACTGAAGAACTAACATATTACAAGGAATTATCAATGTTAAAACTTACAGTTTTTCCTTAATGATTTTTATGTTAAAACCTTAATTAATAATCATATCCTCGATCATCATGTAGAAAAAATCCTCTTCTTTATATTTCAATGACAAATAAAGAGTCCCCAGTTCTTTTAAGATATCACTAATGCCAAACTAAAACAGGAAAGAAGCTGTGTTAGAACGAAGGGACAGACCTGGAGAGTCAGAGCACTGGTGTGTTTGGTAACCAAGAAATTGGTCAAGTTCACAAAATATCACCTCATTGTCCATGCGATTGAAGCTACTCTCCATTGCGATCTTCCACTCCTCCGTACTCGAATCCTTCTTCTCTATCTCTTCCTTTACAAGTTCATGTAACCGATCTCTACACTTCATCGCCACCTACAAAGAAATCAAACACCTATTAACACTTGTTAATGAAAAACAAAATAAAAACGACTTGCTTGAAACCTTATTAATCAGCAGATTTAACAAAATGCGAGAGATATCAGATCAGATCGAGTTCGGATTTTGATGAGATTAGATCGATTTCTTGTTCGATTTCGGATCTACAATTTGAGAGAGAGATCGAGTTCGAGTTCGATGAAGAAAAGCTAGGGCAAGAACAGATCTAACAAAATGCAAGAGAGATCAGATCAGATCAGATCGAGTATGGATTTCGATCAACTTGAGAGATCAGATCAGATCAGATCAGATGAAGAGGATCGACTTTCTTGTTCGATTTGTGAGAGAGAGAGAGAGAGAGAGAGAGAGAGAGAGTTCGATGAAGAACAGCTAGAGTGAAAAAGATCGAGTTCGAGTATCCAATGAAGAACAGCTATAGTGAGAGAGATCGACATTAATCGCGAGAGAGAAGAGCAGCTCATGAGAGATTGTTTTACTTTGGTAATTGGAATGGGGTTAAGTGTCTGTTAAGTAAAACAGACTTGGCTCATTCAGACCATCAACGGGCATCATGGCTTGAAAAACGTGTTGGCTATTGAGATATACCACGGCGTTTCATAAAACGTCTTTGATTCAAACGTCGTCATAGCCAACTTTTCTTGTAGTGACTATAGGTCTGTCTGGGCAGCATTACTTTCGTTTGTAGACAGACAGAGTAACAAAATATCAGTGGTCCAAACGAGTTTGTAGTGTAAGATACTACCCTCTGGTTTATTTATTTATATATATATATATATATTAAATTTTAAACAAAGAACCAATCATGAAAACTCAAATACATGGTAATACAAAATAAATAAATAAATAAATAAATAAATGAAAGTTGGAAAAAAATGAGTATTATATAGAAACTTTCGTTTTGTTGGAAAAAAATATAATGCATTTTTCTTGTATGAAATATGAAACTGTTGTACTTATTATGCATGTGGTTTAATTAATTTGTAACCTCTGTGGAAAGTTGATAAATTATATCGGACAGTGCCTCCGGTATGCTAATAGTACCAGCTTCGTGACCTTTGTCCTCCACCTGTTCATTGTTCATTGTGTGCTTGGATGCCCTATAATTAATGAGAAAGAGAAAAGTTAAGGATCATGAAAAAATTATCATGAATATGATCATGAAAGATTTATGATCCTTGGATTTCCTTGATTAGTGTGTGGTGCTTTATTTTAAGTGTAATCCAAGGGTCATAAATCTTTCATGATCATTTTCATGAAAGTTTTTTCATGATATCTAGCATTGCTCGCATAAAAAATGCTAATTGTTATTCAAATAAGATAATAAGAAGGTTACAGATATATGCATGAAATATTTTATTTGTTTAAGGAAGCAGATATGAGAATTGAATTAATAAATGTACAAGAATGTACTAGGTAGAGTTGATACCGGTATAGTGCATTGATCATGATCATACATAGTGCCGGCATGGCTGATGATGCGGTGAACAATTTGAAGTATAGGTTTGACGTCGAGTTCACGGCCATCTGGAGCATGGATTTCCAGAATTTGTTTCATCATTGTACTGTCTTCCCATGTCATGAACTCGTTTTGGTCACTCGTCATGAACTCGTTTTGGTCACTCATGATCAATTCTCGCGTTAACTCAACCTTACTATCTATTTTAGGAAAATTTTAGAAAATGTACTTAAAATAGTAGGCAAAAATCAGATTAAGCGAGCATTTGCCCAACTCTCTAGACTTTTGGGGAAGGTGAGAAAGGAAGAGGAGAGGTCAGGTTATTTATTATTATTTTTTTAATATGCCAGCTTTAATTGCCCTCGCTTATAATTATCAGAAAATGAAAAAAGCATAGGCCATTTCTTTATGCTTACCGTGGAATATCAGCAACAAAAATGATGTGGAATGGCAATACAACTACTATTTATGCTTTAATTGATACCCCATTTCTTTATGTCACATCATTCAGAATTTCTTTCACCTTTTTTCATTTTGTTTGTAAAACAAAGGTGAGAAAAAAAAAAGACTTAATTCCTTGCTTCTATTACTATTCCCTAATTTGAAGATAATTAAGTTAAAACACAAGCATAGAATTAAAATGAGAACAAAATTTTCTATTTCCCTGCGTAATATAAAGGCACTCAGAGAAATTATATGAACAATAATCAAGGCAACAGCCCAACAAAAGTGAGATTTCACAGATGAATAAAGCATGTTCTTCGGTCTACGATATCTTTTTAGACAAATTACATGGTTCTTATATTTTATTTCTTGTGTGATTTTGAATTTTACTCTTTTAATTGGTTTAAATTTGACTTTCAATTTTAAATTTTGTGTTAATTTGATTCAATTGATAATATTGATAATATTTTTAACAGAAAATTATCACCGAATTACTTAAATTACTTAAGATTAACTCACTGCGCTAAGTAAGTTTATATTTTTACTCTTAAAATTATGACACATGTCACTTATATACGTATTTTTCATAAAAAAATGTTAAGAGTTATAATAAATTTGACCAAATTGTGACAAAATTATAAATTCAGAATCAAAATCGAGTCAATTGAAATTATAGAGACCAAAATAATATAAAGATCAAAGTAAAAGAACTATCTTCGTAATTTATCCTATCTTGTTTTTTAGACCCAAGTACCATGAAACTCAATGGCATGTTTGGTAATCTTTATGTTTACAAATTTATATTTATAAAAAAATTTAAAAATTGTAAACAAAAAATTGATTTGTGTTTATTTTTTTTTTTTTTTATTTAGTCAAATAAGTTAACAGTGTCAGTATCGAATAGCTTCACAGAGTTTATCAAATGACCAAAATAATTAAACATATCAATATCTAATGATTTCATAAAATTTATCAAGTGACCAGAATAATTAAGAGGATTACAAATTAGAAGTAATTAAAAAACAAAAATCTTTGAAAAGAGATTTAAATAAGCATATTGTATATCACCTGAATTACCTCAAACTAATTCTATGGTCACTTGATGCTAAAGTCTTCTATCACCAACAATTGATCATTCGATATTTCACCATAAATCTCCAAATGTGCTGATCAAAATTCTAATGTATAAGATATGCAAGGTTTCACGAAATTTACAATTCTCTTCTTATGTAAAATGGCTAACTCTCTTATTCTAAACGCTCCTAATATAAACTCAACCTTTTATAACAATTAATGATAATGAGAGAGAGAGAGAGAGAGGTGGGGAAGTTGAAGATGGGATGAAATAAAGAGAGTTTTCAATTGCAAATATATAATTAGAGGAGGATTGGGCTCCAAGAATACTTGGTGGGCAAGGAAAAATTAAAAAAATAATAATAAAAAGAAAGAAAAATGAAAGAACAAAGAAAATAGGGAGAGGGTTATGGCATTTCCTGACCATAAAATGATAGAAGGGTTTGCTTGGAGCCTGTAGAGGGGTTCGAAGTGAACAGTGACTAAGAGAGTAATTAGAAAGGCAAAACTATGTCAATGGTCCAATGGATCTAGGCTGGCTGGAGGATAAGTAGCGGGTGAGGGTGGAGCAAGTGGTTCAAGAAGAAAAGAATGGCATTGCACAAATGGGCAGCACCTTCCCAAATCACAAGAAAATCCTCTTTCTTGGACCTTAGGAAGTGTGTCCTATTTATAGGCTTTTTCTTGGTACCAAAGGATACCAAGTGGCCAAATAGGGTGAGAACATATGTCCCTAAGAATCATATGTAATATTCTTCTTTGGACCACCAGACTGAAGGTGCCATGTGTCCCTCTACATATACTATGTACTATCTGTT